AAATAAATAAAAACGCGAATAGTGTTTGTTTTTATGATCTCGCCGAGCAGTATGTGACTAAATCTAGGGGCCGCGTTAGCGCATTCAATAGGAAACTCGCTTTCAAATCCAACTGCGACTGGCCGCAGCCCACGGCCGGTGTTCAAAACAGGGCGGTTCCCGGTGCTCATCAAGCCTCTGGGAAATGGGTAACCAGAGTTAACACTCTGGGGTATATAGAGAAACGTCGCTGTAGCTACGGAGTTTCGTGCGGACGGCGACACAGGCGGACAGTTTCTTATCAGCTGTCCGTACTGGTGGCAGAGCACTTATGGTTTATAACCGTGTGCGATGACGCTAGTTCACATTTCCCGACTTTACCTTTACCTTTATGACTAAATCTATGATCTGTACTATGTTAAAGAACAATTTTGCGCCTAAAATGGCTGACCTGGCTGAAGGAATGACTATGTTGAAGAAGCAAAAGTCTCAAGTGTTTAAAGAAATATAACAATTATTGTTAGCCACCGGGTCAGCAATCAAACCACTTTCCAGGACACAAACAAGACAGTCTGCACACATAACCAATTGTGTCTCTAGCTTGCGCCATCCAAGACTTTCCTCTTTTCAGTCTGTGACTCTCAGCTTTATCCAGGGCTTCGTGCAGGAGGTGCTACTCTGAGAAATGAAAGTGTGTTCTGCGATAATACCACAATGTATGGTTCAAATGTTCGATCCCAGCTGTGGGCCATGGGCCTTGCGTTGGTTTCGACAGTGGTATCAAGAAAGCCGACCGTCCAGAAGCAATGGCAAACTACTGGACGTAAATTTTGCCTAGAAAAACCACATAACAGCCAGGGGCTGTTGGGGTTGGTTCTGCAACGTCCTGTAAAGGATACGCAACTAACCTTTATCGTTCAAATGTAATGCAAATGAATTTGGTTTGTAGCTTCGAGACAGTTTGACCTTATGGCATGGAGGATCATCTATGTCAGAGTTGACTGAAGGTACACGAGACAGAAGTTTGTAGATAGACAGGACAGTCAACGCCAGACGGCATAGACTTTTTAGAAGAAGAAACATTAAACTCAGTCACAGCACACCAGGCATACCCATAAATGCTCCGTCTCACACAGCAAATGTTTTATTAAAGTGTAGATGCCAGATGTTCCCTTAGCACACTGATTAATTAAACCCACATTGTTCTTTTCCTCTTTTATGTTCTTCCTTGCCGGATCCACTACTAATACCTCTTCAACATATTTTTATACATGTAAGTCTCTGTTATATAACTGTAATTATTGACGTCTCAGCTCATTAATATTATTATTATTATTATTACCCATTTAAACAAAACTTAGGCATCATGGTCTTTTCCTTTTCCATGGAAAATTTGCTATGGGCTTTATATTCCAATCCCCGCCACCCCCCCCCCCTCCATCCCCCCCCCCTCCCAAGGGATCCATTGTTTTCTGTGCGTGGGTGACTGCAATTTTGCACAGACCATGTGGGCATAGAAAGATAAGCTGATCATGCAAGCGATAAACAGTGGACACAACAGAGTGCCTGGTAACCTCGATAGCAAAACACACACATGGACACTTTCACGCTGTTTATATTACTGACACTGAAGGCCCCAAGAGAATCAAGATGAAACAAGATATGTTGCTAGTTGGCGCTTGTATGTCTTTCCAGACGATAGTGTTGCATTGTGAAAAAACATGGGGGGGAGGGGGGGGGGGGTTAGACAAGAACTGCTCTAGCTGACAGGCCAAGCCGCTGATGTCACCACACCGGGCTAACGATACGTTAACGCAGCGATTCTCAAACTAGGTGCTGCGGCACAGAGGAGTAATGCGAGCATTTGTCAGGAGTGCCGCGGAAATAATCAAGAATTTTTCCAGATCTAATTGACATTAAATTTGCACTGTTTTTTCTTTTTCTTCTTTCCTTAGGTGTTCAAGGGTAGGTAAGCCGCATAATTATTTGTTTCGCCGGACGAAAACAGTTTGAGAAACGCTGCGTTAACGTATCGTTAGCCCTGTTTGTTGACGTCAGCAGCATGACCCTTCAGCTGGTTCACATCCGTTTCACACATCTGGATAATTTTTATGCAGACTCTTGGTTTCCTGCCTCTCAGGCAGATTTACTCCTACTTTGAAAGATGTCCCAGTTAGTTGACTCCTATGAAGTCTTATTGTGTAGGCAGTGGGTCTATTCTTGTTTTTACCCTACAATGGTGCCCTTGATCACATATGGGGACATCACATTACTATGGCATGATCTAACTGAGATAAGAAACAGAATAGGACAGGCAAAAACTGCATTTTATCAAATGAAGAGCGTCTTGTGCAATATATTCTGGTCATTGAGAGTTAAAAAAAGAATTCTTGCTTGATACATGTATCCAGTTTTAACATATGGCTGTGAATCCTGGACAATCGGTAGACAGACCAAACAATTTCTTGAGGCCTCGGAGATGTGGTTTTACATAAAAATGCTTAAAATACCTTGGACAGCCAAAAAGAGCAGCCAAGAGGGTTTGAAAGAGGCGGGAGCCCGAAGACAACTTATCACAGACATCAGAAGGAGACAATCATCATTTTTCGGCCATGTTATGAGAAGAGGGAAAATAGAACATGTTGTGACCACTGGAAAGGTCTGTGGAAGGAGGGATAGAGGAAGACAACGAGAGAAGATGCTTGACAGTCTTGTTGCATGACATGGAGGTGTGTCGGCACACGAACTGATACCTTCTGCAGGAGATCGAGATTGTGGATAGGCATGATCGCCCATGCCAGTCGGCAAGGCACCTGATGACGATGATGATGATGATGATGAGGGCATGATCATCTGCAACTAACGTAAATTAGGCCTAGTATTGCACGCACGTTTTTTTTTTTTTTTTTCAAATGACGGCTGCTAATATATTGCTTGCTTCAATTCAGAAACCAGAAATTTGGGACTGAGAAAGATCACTTGCTAAATTGATCTAATGGCTTTCCAGCGTGCCGTAGTTGCAGATCTCCTGTCAAGGAGAATATGGTTGCATGCTGATTTGTATTGACTTGGAAGGGGAAACGTTGTATGAATTGTGTTTTCCGGAGTCCCCAGAGGCACTTAAGTGTTGTTCAGGGCCGGATGGACCAGTGGATTCACGAAGTTATTAGTCCAGTGTTAGCCAGTTTCATAAGTAGTGCGTGGATATGGTTGTTTTAATGTCATAATGCATTTCTACAGTGTCTGTTTAACCACCCATTTCTTTCTTGGTCGACCTCTTGCCTTGTAGTCTTGTGTTTGCTATAGTATGCTGTTCGCATGTTAAAGTATCATATTACCGTCTCTGGGCGCTGCGTTAGCGCAGTCGATAGGAGACTCGCTTCCAAATCCGGCTGCAACTCGCTGCAGTCCACGGCCGGTGTTCGAAACCGGGTGGTTTCCGAGGTTCACCCAGCTTCTAGGAAATGGGTACCAGAGTTAACACTCTAGGGTAAATGGAGTAACTTCGCTTTAGCTACTGAGTTGCGTGCGGACAGCGACACATGCGGATAGTTTCTTATCAGCTGTCCGTATTAGTAGCAGAGCACTGATGGTTTATAACCGTGTGCAATGACGCTGGTTCACATCTCTCGACTTGACCTTTTCCTTTACCATTACCGTCTGGAAAGATGGAAAGGTGCCAACCAAAACTTTGGGGGAGGGGGGAGTGCCGAACTAGCCAGTCGATCTGCATGTTCGATAGCCCTTGAAAACAGTCAGAACTTGGTCCCGTTTGATAAGAACTTGACATATTGCTTGGTCAACACTGATAACGGGTGCTAGGATGGGTGTTTCCAGGATCAGGTAACAGAATAAGCCAACCACAATCTAGGGCAATGGTTTGCTCTCCTTTCGCGTAGTGTTGTGTCTAAGCAGTAGACCGGAGCCTGGGTGGGAGGTCAATCATTTTGAGGGACCCCTCATTAGGGGTGTGGAAGAGGTTAAGTCTCCCTGAATATTTTTAAAGATGGACTGACCGATCCCCCCTGCCCCAAGTGGTTCCTGTCAGCACGTATAGAAGTGTTTTTTAAATATAAATTTTTTTTAATTGTATACTGCTTCAAATATATTATTTTATGTATTTGCCATTAGCACATATGGTTAGTTGTGTATCCTTTACAGGACGTTGCAGAACCAACCCCAAAAGCCCCTGGCTGTTGTGTGGTTTTTCTAGGCAAATTTACGTCCAGCAGTTTGCCATTGCTTCTGGACGGTCAACTTTCTTAATACCACTGTCGAAACAAACGAAAGGCGCATGGCCCGCAACTGGAATCGAACCCAGCATCCCGGCAATACGAAGCGTTCGCATCGACTTAGCAACAGAGCCGACATTCAGCACATAAAACAAATAATAATAATAATAATAATAATAATAATAATACACGGCAAGAACATTTAAATATGACATTTTAAATGAGCATGTCAAAATCAATCAGAAAGTATGTATTTTAAATTCTTGTTAGGATTTTTTTTTTAAAAACTTTCGAAAACTTGTTGACCGTGAAATTTGATTTGTCTATTTTAGTGACAGAGTTCAGTGTGTCGGTCTTCATTATTTGTTAATGGAACTGTTGTAATGTACTTGATGAGATAATAAAAGTATTCCAGACAACACATTGTGCATTGAATTGCTTGTTACCGCTTTAGTTATACTTATTTTGAAAAGTATTGTTTCCAAAGCAGATTCTAAAACGTCTGAGCCGCCCTCCCGCCTTCCCCTTTTTTTTCTCTTCCTTTCTTGACCGTGATTGTGAAGCCTCAAACTGTAAGTTGTTTAATCAAGGCATGAGGTCCCGGTAGAAGTGGGAGAGGCAGACCGAGAGGGATGATAGCTTGAGTGCGTCGGTGGTACAAAGGAATATCATCGTTGGAACTGATCCAGAGGACAAGCGAACGAGATCTGTGAAGATGCATGAACGGTTACGCCAATCGACAGGGCACGTGATGATGATGAAGGCCTGAATTTGGCAATACCGACGCCTCTATACAAGGCCTCTACGAGATGTGAATTTGATTTTGTAAGGCTGACGTACACACGAGGTTCCAAAAGACTCTTTCAGTGTTGGCAATATACCCGAGTTGTCAGCTGGTTCAAATTTGAAGCGCTGAAACATCGCTGACAGAAACAGAAACAGCTCCATTCTAGCCAGTGCCATCCCTAAACACATTCTTCTGCCAATACAGAATGGTATCAGTTCTTCGCGATGGATGAGAGCTCCGTTTGCGTCGATGAATCTTTCAGGCCGGAAGTTCTCTGGATCACCCCAGATTTTCTTTTCGTTGTGAACAGAGTCCAAGACTGGCCAAAGAATACTTCCTTTAGGAAATGTGAAACCGCCCAATTCAAACGTATCGCTGACTTCTCGCATGATACCAACAGGTATAAGACTGGCAAAACGCTGTGTTTCCATGATAACTGCGTTCAGGTAGACTAGTTTAGGTTTATCAGACATGTTAGGAATACGTTCAGTTCCAACATGAGCCTCAATTTCACGATAGACCTTCTCTTGCACATCTGGGTAATGCAGCATGTAGAGAAGGCACCATAAAATGGTGATGCTTGTTGTTTCAGTTCCAGCTAAAAAGAGAAGCCTCATAATGGCTACGAGGTTTTCTTCACTGAGGTTTGTATCAACGCCATTGTCTTTCAACTTCTTCATCTCCTTAATGTAGGCGGCAACAAAATTCTCTGGGTCTTCGTTTTCTTTAAAAGCCTGTTTGAGTTTATTAATGTATACCTTGCCGAACCTTTCATTGATTTCAGTTGAAGCTTTTGTCCATTTCTTTGCGTGGAAGAGGTCACCAGGAAGGTAGTAGAGATATTTAAAAGGTGTTAGGATTGCTACAGATCTGTTATATTTCAGTGCATCTCTTAACAGAATCATAAAACGAACAAAATATGGATCGTCATGCTCAAATCTTTGTCCGACAGCAACGGAACAAATCACGTTTGACACACTAACGTTTAGAAGTAACCTGACGTCTTCCGGTTGACCTTTGAAAGACCCCAATTTTTCTAGAGTGTAAGAGACCTCTTCTTGAATTTTCTCGGCCATAACATTCTTCCCCATGCCAAATGATCGAAGAATAGATAAGGAAGTTGTCCGTTGTTCCTTCCAGTTATCGTCCCTCGCAGAAATGATGCCTTTATTACTCTCAGCGAGGATTTCGGCAGCAAAAGATTGCTGACTGTTCACAATATAATCCGCGTGTTTGACCCAGATTTCCTTGATGAAGTTGTAATCATTAACAAGAATATGTAGTTCTCCTCCAATATCTAAACTGTAGATATCTCCAGCTGCCTTTCTCCACGCTTTCATTTTGTCTCTAGAAATACTTCGTATCTCCCAAAAATGTCCCAAAATGGGCCAAGGTTGGGATGGAAATGGCGGGATTTTGTCAGGAAAATTACGTCTGGATTTTGTCCACAACAAGAATGCTACAATGCCGGTTAAGATCAGTGGCAATAACCAAGAGGCGCTGATGGCTATGTCCATTCTGAAGACACTTGAAGATGTCATGGTGGGATGAATCCAGAAGAATCAGCTGTGGGTAGAAGAAAAAGAATTATTCTTAGTATGTTAAACCTTGTAATTTATGCTGCAGATAAATATAATTCTTAGTCAACTACATATATAATTGAATTTTTTCTGGCTGAAGTAAAGCTAAAGAATTTAACTATCTAGTAACCGTAAAAATTGTTAACATGAAATCGAAGGGATTAGAAATCGATGGGGTTTATCATGTTAAAAGTCTTAAGCTAGTTTGTATCAGGGAGGTTTTATTGTATATTCTTGAAGGACGGCATAATAGTTTGAGAAACAGACAAAAATGCCCGTTGTTGTTTAGTTATAAAGATTATCCGGTTCAACCTTCAAGAGGATTATAATTGGAGTCGTTAGTCAAGAGGTGATTTAAAGAGTCTGTTTAAATGACCATTGATCGCATGCATCAAGAGGGCAAATAGACTGATATAACCAGGGCATACTGAGAGAATGTCAGATGACAGATTGGTAAAAACTGTGTTCACAAGAGAGTTGAATGGTAGTAGACCACGAGGCAGGTCAAGAAGAAGATAAAGAGATAATATCGAGGCAGACCTGCAAACACTTGGTGTCGCCAATTGGAAAGAGAAGGCCAACCAGAAAAAATTATGGAGGCTGGTAATATCTGCAGCGATGACATTCAAGGGCTAGGAATGCTAAAGTAGAAGTCTCGCGGTGATTCTCATTATAATCAGCAAACTTCTTCTTCTTCTTCTTCTGCGTTGGACATCAGTCATGCTAAACATTGAGCCCCGTCTGGGTCAAAAATAGGATTGTGCGTTTAAGGTCGCCACCGGTCCCCTATAGCTTCTCTTGCAATGTGGCTCCCTTGAGCCAGATCCAGTCTTTGCTGGGAGAGGTAAGGGCAGTACTGTAGTGTGTGCACAAGGGTCTGTCTTTCTGCTCCACAATCCCGGGCAGCAGATTCTTTTATGCCTATCCTGTACAGGTGTGCTCAGCAAACTAAAGTCATGATACATTAGTATTTTAAAAAAATACATTCCACACACACACACACACACACACACACACACACACACACACACACACACACACACACACACACACACACACACACTCCTGTTCGTGAACATTTTACTACTGTTTGGTTTCAATGCTTTTTTAATTAGAATTTTCTATGTGTCAAGACGCGTTGCTTGCTATGTCCATGCTGAAAACACTTGAAGTCAGTTTTTCATAATTTCATCTTTAAATGCCTTGCCGACTGGAGTGGGCTATCATGCCTCTCCACAATCTGCGATCTGCAACTGCATGTATCAGTGTCTGTGTTGACTCCCCTCCATGCAGTGATAAAAGACCTTGTCTTACTATGTCTCTCTTTTCACATATCTGTCCAGTGGTCACAACATGTTTCATTCTCCCTCTTCTCAAAAAACATCAAGGTGGCTCTTCTTGGCTGTTAAAGATTCTTATGTAGGCCACATCCACGAAACATGAAGATATTGTTCGTCTTGTTGATTAATTGTTGAAACTGGCTCTATATAGCTTGCGAGAATTCTTTTCCTAACTTCCATTTACACGAATTTCTTGCGCAAAATGTTCTTCGTTTTATAAAAAGCAGTTTTAGCCTGTCCTATTTTTTCGTTATCTCTGTGATACATTTCCATCAGATGTTATCCATGTGTCTAGATACTTAAAATTCTGTACATGTTCTAAAATAATGCCTTTGACTTTTATTATACATTTTGGCACTATTCCTTTCTTGGAAATCCCTGTTTCTTCTGTCTTTCCATTTTTCAAACTAGGGCCCATTTTATAATTTTTTGCTACTACAATATCTATCATTTCCTGTAGTTCTTTCTTAATTGTCGCTATCAAGACGGTGTCATCATCATAACGCCGGTTGTTTATGTTACGACCACCAGCTACACTTTCTGGCATATCCGTGATAGATCACATTATAAAATCGTGTCTATAAGCTTCGCAATTTGTCAGTTTTCCGTGTTTACTTATTTATCACGGAGCGGCTAGACGCGCGCTGCGGATCAGAAGGTAGTGGGGGCAGTCACCGTGGCCGAGCGGCTAGACAAAGGCTGCGGATCGGAAGGCCGTGGGTTCGCTCCCTGGCGGAGCCGGACTTTTTTCAAAAATGACCTTGGCTGCCAGGTCGACCCAGCCTTGAGTGGGTACCGAGTGCAGTCCCGGGAAAGTAAAGGCGGCCAGCGTGATGCTGACCACATCACTGATCTTGTGCCGACTGGTCTATACAAATATAGGTCTAGCCCTATATGCCCTATACGCCTAAAGGCGTGGAAAGGGTCCTTTACTTTTTTTTTCACTTATTTATCAATTTAAACTTTCAGAGCGAGTTTGTTTTTATTCTAAGAGTTTGTTTTAATTCTAAGAGTTTGTTTTTATTCTAAGAGTTTTCTTTTTTCGTGGCGAGGGGAAAGTGGTTAGGTTGTTGAATATTATTACGTTTCAATAATCTGACATATTTGATGCTTATATTTTGTTGACTGATGGACACATACTGGGTTCCGGATGTCCCATGTGACAGCTTGGTATCTGTGGGAAGCAGAATTTTTTAGCCTAATTCTTAACACTGGTAAACACATCTTTATGTATGCCTAAAGATATCGTTGTGGGTAATAAATATATCTTTAATTTTAGGACATGCTTAAAGAAGATATCCACTGACATGTAGCCTCTTTCTTAGTGAATCCTTTGAAAAGATTCAGCATGAATTATTGTTATACAACGCATCGTTTTGTCCAGTGCGTCAGTGCTGCGGCCCATTCTGGCCTTACCATGGGGATATTGATGATGCATAGGGCACTGTGTCCGTGTGTTACCACGGCCGTCACGGGAAGGAAAGAATGGTAACACTGCACCTTATTAGGCATGTCGCAAGAGGCGACTAAGGGTGGGTTAGGCTTGGAGTTTGGTACTTCATCCTGTAAAAACAATAGCTACAAAAACCAACCAACCAGGCCTATGCCCTACTGGGGGATAGAAGGCAAAAAAGAAAAAGTCACTGTGTGACTGGTTGAGTTTTCTTTAATACTTGTTTACATTTCACCCGGTCTGTGGAACATCATCAGTTCTCGTTATGCCTAGTGGCACATCAGGCTTCAGAGAGGACTTTCCATGCTTTCCTGTCCTGTGCAATCGTCAGTGCAGTTTTCCATGTCAAAGATGCCGCACTCAGGTAACTTTCCATCGTTCGTCTTCATGTTGTTTTTGGGCGCCGCAGTTTTCTCTTTCCCTCTGGTGTCCATGTGAGAGCTGTTTTGACAGGTATATCAGAAGTCATTATCATAACGTGGCCAAGCCATCTCCATCTTCTCTTGGTAATCATACTGTCTAAAGTTTCTTGGTTTGTGGCTTGAAGTAGTTTAGTGTTTGAGATTGTATCTGGCCAGAAATTTTTGATAATTCTACGTAGACATGTGTGGTGGAAGGTGGACAGCTTGTGTGCATCCTTTTTGGTCATTCTCTAGCATTCCCCTCCATAAAGAAGAACTGGCAAAACGATGCTCTTGTAGAGTCGGAGTTTCGTTTCTCTGCAGTAATGTTGAATTTCCAGATGTGCCTCATCCTTCCAAAAGCAGCTCTAGCTTATATACCTTTCTTTAAAATAGGTGCCACGCCTTCAGAATGTAGGTTATCATCTCTTCCAGAGTATATTATGGTTTCTCCTGTACCTGTTGTGGATTGTCCAAACCCTGTCCACCTGCTTTCTCTAATTCCAAGAATATGCAGTTTATAGTTCTGCATTTCTTTAATTACTTGGGCGGTTTTAGCCATTTGAAACATGATTCTTACATTCCAGAAGCCAATTCTTTATTTGGTTTTGACATCCAGCAGACTTGTTTTCCCATCATGGGCTTCATTTCGGCTTTCACCCATGTTGTTCATGCTGACAGAGGGACTCTGTCCCAAGACCATCGGACGTATAGAGCACTTATTTCCTCTTGAAGTTTCAGTAACTTTGTAGATTTTTTACAGGGCAGAGCTGTCAACACTGCGCCCAACCCCCGAGCCTGGAGGACCGGGAGGCCATCTTTAGTCTGGCCTCTCACCAATGACCTGTCCGGCTTGGGTGACCCTACCAGGAACATACGTTCTCGTTGGCATAGCTCATTAGATCATTGAGGCTCTTAAGCTCCCCCACCACTACAAGGTCATGGCCTCTGGGGGGAGGGTCTGTGGAACATGGATAGCCTTTATGCAGTGTTATTTATGACTTTACGTCATGGCTGTTGTTCCTGTGGAATGCCTTTAATTTGTGTGACGGTTGTGTAGTGGTATTCAGTATGGCCGGTGGCCGGTTTAATTATGAGTTGGCGAGATACCTTATGTAATAATTTTTCGTGTGTACAATAACTAACGTATCCTGCCAGACTGGTCTATATCGAACGACAAACTGAATTTCTGGTGGCGATCATTTACTCTGGCGCCTCTTGCAACTGAAAAACTCATTTACTGCTTGCACAAATTTCTGGACTGTTTTGGGACTAATTGTTTGTTCACTTTTTTTTTTAAATGCGACAGTGAGAGACATTTTCATTGATTTTCCCTGGTACAGAAACGGTGCAAATATGGGGAAACCCTGATTTCTGTGATGTTAAAACTCCGACTAAGAAAGACGTCATTGATTTTCTCTTCTTCCTCCTCTCCTTTAGCGATTTCTGACCATGCACCTAATCCAATGTGTACCCTAAACTGGGATATCATCTCAAGGTCTCTTTGGTTGCCCCAAAGCTAAATTGGTTTGCAGCTGGGTCGACCTCTCTGTCTCTCCGTTTCTCAATAATAACAAACAATCGTTTCGTTCAACCAGCATGTCTTTAGGGGGAGCTTTTGGTTATAATTGTGATTTTTTGCGCCATTTTAAAATGGCTTAACATTGTTCGTCACCAAGTAGCCCTGGAAAATACTTGCGATCAAAAGAGGCATATCCAGATTATTTCCCGATAGACGACGAAGTCGTCTACTGCCCAGTCGATAAG